GGTAACTAAACTTCATAACACTCTTTCTTTTGCACAGCATATCTGATTAGAATAACTCAAAAATCAACTGCATTAATATTTAAACTATTTTCCTTTATTTAATCACAAATCTTTACAAAATTAAACTATTGGCTGCCCAGAAATTTATCGGAAAATTACTTATCCGAATATGAATGATTTCAATAGATGCTATTTTATCACAGGAATGTTTGCTTTGATGCCTTGCAATTGTCAGTAATTCTTTTTATCTCGCTGTCAAATCTTAAAAGAATCTGGAGAGGAAGTGTTAGTTTAAATAAACAAACAACACAATTCCATAGTGTTTGTAATAAAATAATAATAAAATCCATAAAACAAATCTTAGCTAATTAAACACTTTCCTGGAATGTATAGAATAGGAATTATAACCTAACTGCCGTTCCAATACAATGCACAATAAAAATTTTTATACAGGACGGGACTCTTAATTTGTTAATTAAATAAAAATTTGTAATTATTAAAGTTTTTACTCCACATTAAAAAAAAATAATTCTTCTCGACCTTCTCTATATGTAACTTCCGGTGTTATTTGTGCAACCTCAATACATTTCGTTTCTTTGACTTCATTGATATTTTGTCATTTAATTTGATACACTTTACCTTTTTAAGTATACCAATAAAAATATATCAAGAGGAGTTATAACTAGGTGACTTAGGTGGGCATTTTATATTGTTTCTCTTCGACCTATCCACCAATCTGGAAAGACGTTGTTTCATGAATGTTGTGCACCAAGACTTAGTGTGAAGATGCACGATCTTCCTTACACCATGAATTTATTTCTGTTTTGGAATCAACGGGCCCAATTCAGGGAGCAAGAAAGTTTCGAAGAAATTCTTAATATCGAGGACCTGTTAGGGTTTTCTTCGAGATAGTATGATTTAATAATTCTATTATCTATTATTCCCGCCCACACATTAACTTTCTCTGGGTATTGAGATATGGTACTCTTGCATCCAGTGAAGATTTTCCGTAGCCCT